CTCAAAGATACAAGATCTCAGAGCACAGAGAGAAGTCGAATATAGTGTGACTGCGCCTTCTCTCTGCGTTCTCTTCCTGCCGCCGCCATATTGCCAGTTCGATCTCCTTGTAGGAGCAATCAAGAGGTGTCTTGATATCAGCCTTTGGAGAAGTTGTGCTCACTGCCTCCATCGAATTCTTGTGAAGGGTTCGGTTCTTGGGAAGAACACTGCTGACTCTGCTCCATCCTACACTGCGCCATCTTCAATGGGAGCAGTTTTTGGATCCTTCCTTGGGCGTGAACACCTTCATTGGGAGATACTATTTCTCTGTATCAGGTATATCCCTCTCCTGCTTTTGGTTTCAGATCTGGTTTGGTTTATGGTTCAAGATTGATCCTTGAAAATGCAGATCTAGCTGTAGGGCTATTTTTGTACTTTTACTTTTATTTGTTGTATAACTATCCTTTGTACACTCTTTCTTTTGTACACTAAAGGCAGATTTGTCCTTTTATCTTTTTAATATAAATATATCTTTTAGGGTGTCGACTAACACATATTGTCACACCCACCAATCTACTGTGTTCTCTTCTCTCTCTCTCTCTCTTTGGCTTTTCGATCCGACTCTGACACCAAATACTGTTAGAGAGTTCTTGACACAGCAGCAACAGAGATGATTGAAAGGAATCAGATCATGACCTGCTCTGATACTATGTTAGAGTCAAGTCGAAAAGACAAAGATAGAAGAGAGAGAAGAACAAACAGTTTGGTGGGTGTGTTGCCTAGTGACTGTCGACACCCTAAAAGAGATATTTATATTAAAGAAAGTAAAAGGACAAATCTGCCCTTAGTGTACAAAAGAAAGAGTACAAAAAATAGATGTACAACAAATGAAGTAAAAGTACAAAAATAGCCTTACAGCTAGATTTTCTCATTGTCTCTACACTGAGACCTATATCCAAAGAATCCCCATTGCCATGGACAAAGGAGATTGGTTTCAATTTATGCAAAGAGAGGGAATAAATAAAAAGGAACCCATTACCTTGAAAAGTTAAAAATGTAAAAGTATCCAAGAGCACCATGTAAAGAAAAAATATCTTGGCAATGTGAAACAACCCTCCATGAGCACCTTATTGCCTAGGCAACCACCTAGGTGTCACCTTGACAACTATGCATAACTATGGAAGATACCAATAGAAATGTCAGACTTTAGAATTGGAAAATATGGACCTTTGCCTGATTAAGGTGAAGTTGCCTATAGGATGCACACCAAATCCACTGGCACAATATAGAGAGTTTAACCATATATCCATAATTTTCAATTTGTGCCTCCTCATTGTAAGTGGTGCCTTACAATCAACTTGAGTACAAGTAGATTGATACATTATTAGCTAAATATTAAAAAATCACAATAGATGAATATGTTTCATCCTCGACATGAGATTAGCATACCAAGTATTAATTTAAATCACCCAATTAGGCTATTTAAGTTTATCATAGACACAAATACTATGAACAATGAGGCTTATAATAATTAGGTCAGCTAGGTTTAGCCCATAAGGCTACTGAAATAAGTGTCAAACTTTTAAATTGGAAAGTATGGACCTTTGCTTGAATAAGGCAATGTAGTCATGTAACCGATAGGGTGCACACCAGAACAAGTCACACAATGTAGAGAGCTTAACCATATATCCACAAGTTTCAACCTGTGCCTACTCATTGCAAGGGGTGCCCAATGACCAACTTGACAACAAGTAGATTAATATTCTATGAGGTAACTAATAAAAAAATGGAAAATAAGAATAAGTTTTATCCTTGATCTAACAATAACAGATCTTCAGTTAAATCACCCAGCTGGGCTGCACAATTTTATCTTTGTGACAGATAATATGAGCATTGAAAGTTCTAATAGTTTATTCGATTGGAATCAGCACATAACTGTGTAACTACCACTAGAGGTGCCAGACTTTTGGGATGGAAATTATGGACCTTTTCCACATTAAGGTGAACTTACCGATAGAGTGCACACTGGACTCATTGTACAATGTATAGTGCTGCATAATTTTATCTTTGTGACGGATAATGTGAACATTGGAAGTTCTAATAATTAGTTCGACTGGAATCACCACATTACTGTGAAACTACCACTAGAGGTGCCAGACTTTTGGAATGGAAATTATGGACCTTTGCCATATTAAGGTGAACTTACCGATAGAGTGCACATTGGACTCTACGTACAATGTATAGCGCTTAACCATATAACCATAAGTTTGAACCCATGCCTCCTCATTGCAAGGGATGACTTGCAAACAATTTGACTACAAGCAGATTGGTAGTCTACGAGGTAGATAGTAAACAAACAAAACAAATGAATTAGTTTCATCCTCAACCTAATAATAACATATATTCAGTTAAAACACCTAGTTGGGCTATTTAAGTTTACTAGTAAGTGTGCATGACTGCACGTGCTTTCACGTGGCAATTTTTTATGATGATGATAGTAAATAATGTCTCCAAAATTTTCTACACTTTTTTTTTTACATTTGTCTATAAAAATTATTCTTATTTGTCACACTTATTTTTGTTTAATATGATGAGTATACAATATTAGAGATGGCCCAAATGTTTTCTACAATGTTTTTTTGTATTTTTTATACTTTTGTATGTTTTTATCTTTTTTAATTATCATCATTATTATTGTTATTTAATAATAAGGTTGAATTGTTGACTCACCACTGAGTAGGAGAATAACTCCATTTTTTGGGTTGGTTTTAAATTTGTATTTTATCCCTATCATCAATAAAAACAATTATTCTTTGTCACACTTATTTTTCTTTAGGGTCATTTACTAGAACACCCCCTACAGTTTCACAAATTTAATTAAACCTACACTATAGTTTTCATTCTACTAAAACTTTCCCTATAGTTTGCAACCTATTTACCTAATCCACCTTTCACTAAGAAGTGTTTGTTTTACCATCTGAAAATAGTAACATGATCACCTAAACTGAGTGGAAAATGTTCAAGGGCATGGAACCATGATTGTTTATTCCAAAAGTACCCCTAACACTTCTTCATACAGAAAACAAAATTGACCAAATAGAGCCAAATAGAGTGGTTTCCTGTGTCTTATTAGGGGCAAAAATGGTATTTTCAATTTTATTTTCTTTTGATTAAATTTATTCACATGGACATTAGTGTCAAAACTGTCATCTAATGGAAGGTTGATTAAGTAAATTGATTGCAAACTATAGGGGTGTTTTAGTAAAATGCAAACTATAGGATAAGTTTTAGTAAATCCATAAAACGATAGGGGTGTTTTAGTAAATGACTCTTTTCTTTAATATGGTTAATTAATATAGGATTCAATGAAATAATGGGAGTTAATTCCCTAAATATAAGACTTAACGAGAGGGAATTGAATGAGGAGAAATGTAGTAGTTCAAATTACATTTTGTGTCCTCACAATTAGAGAGGAACCAAATTCATAAATAGGGGCATTCTATTGAAGAAAGGATTAAATAAATGTTAATGGGAATTAATACCTTAAATATAAGACTCATGAGAGTGATTTGAATGAGGAGAAAAGTGGTTTTTCAAATTACATTTCTGTCCTTACAATTAGAGAGGGACTAAATTCAAAAATTGGAGTATTTTAGTCAACCATTTAAAGTTCCACACTATTATTCACACTTTTAATAGTAGTATATATCTTTGCAACGAATTCTATGAAGATTAAGGTTATGATAATTAAATGGGTTAATCAGTTCATAACTCTGAGGATACCAATGACACAATGTGGAGAGCTTAACCATAGTCCACAAGTTTGAACCCTGTGCCACCTCATTGCAAGGGATGGATGCCTTAGGACCAACTTGACTAAGAGTAGATTCATACTCTATGAGGTAAATAATAAAAAATCACAACAGATGAATCAGTTTCAGACTTTCATCCTCAACCTAATAATAATACATCATCTGTAAAATCAACCAACTGGGCCATTTAAGTTTGTCTTCATCACGGATACTATGAACAATTAGAGTCATAATAATTAACTGAGCTGGAATCAGTCCATAACTCTGAAGCTACCAATAGAGTGTCAGACTTTTGAGTTGGAATCAGCCCATAGGCCCAATGCCCACCCTTCCCAGACAGATGCCACACAGATCTTGGCCCAGGCTTATAATTTAGGTCCAGGGGCCATGCCAGGCCAAGCCTGGGCCTAGGATATTTCCCTTATAATAGGTGCTAAACCCAGCCTGAACCTGGCCCTCCCCAGCCAATGATCACCCTACTACTCCCCCAGTCAAATACAACCATCATGCAGAAACGTCAACTTAAGTGTAATGGGTATGATAACTACATTAGATTTTCTCTACAGACTCCCTCCTTTACTAGGGAGTTGGCTAACGAGTTTGTGCACCACATAATCTAGGAGGAGGCCACAGCAGTGATGGATGCGAAGTATATAGCTTCTCTATTGAGTGTTTTAACTGTCAAGATATGATAGCCATTTCTTTCAACTAACTAGTGATTGCATTCAAACCTTCACTCAACATTCAACAAGCAAGTCCCAAGAGACAACAAATCTAGCAAATCTCAGTCCTTAGTAATAAAGCTAAAGTTTCTGCTCTGGTTGAGTTTCCTGTTCCCACCAGATCTGAGTACACCTATAGAAATTTTACCCCCATGATCTCTAATTGAATCTTCCAACCCTTGACAATTCTATATCACCCAAATTGCACCAATCAAATTTCAGTTTGATATGTGACAGTGGAGCCCAAACAGACTATGCCTTCTAGAAGTAGCTGCCATCACATTCTACCCGCAAAGCATATCATCCATATAGAACAAGGTACAATCCTCTTTTGTTTTTACCCAATGTATAACATAAAATGTTAAAATTGAAGCAAAGCAAATGACATATGAATCCAATCATTGGCAAAAGGAGCAATGAATTGAGTCCCTACAAATAGAAGTATAAAAATACTAAAGCTAACAAAAGCACCTTCACTACTTACCTTCTCATTGCCTGCCCTTAGAGCAAGCTTATCAATAAGATAAGTGGCAACAGCTATTTGCCGCTTGGTGATGTCTTTGCTCACAAAATCTCTGGTGTAATTTGCTCTGATGTCTTTAATGTAATCCTGAATCCAAATCATAGGTTACAGCTACCAGTTGCCCAAGGTAAATACAATGGACTTGTTTGTTATGATAATGGAACATTCATCAAGAAATAGTAAACAAATGTGCATGAGACTTCACCTTCAGTAATCTTGCTTTCTCATACTTCTCCTTGTCACTTTGCCCCTTCAAGGAACTGCTAGCTGCCAAGAAGACATATTTGAATTCTTTTGGATTGATTGGATCATTCCAAAATGCTAACCACGTAACAGTGTTATCATGCCTTACTTCTTTCCATCTGCAAAGTCCTAGAAAAGTTTCAACATGGCAACTCTATTTCTATTCACATAAAGAAGAAACATTGTCATGAAAATTGACATTAGAGAACCTTTCACCAGGAATTGGACATTCAGGAATTGGAGCACCCTTTCCGATATTTATAGTGATATCACTTGGATGTATGCGTTTTTTCAGCTTTCCCATCTGAAAACCATTGAAGTCAATAGAGGTTTCACAACAAAGAAGCCGATAAGTAGTACAAATACTTCAGGAACCCAACCATCAAATATCCAACCAATCCATGGAAGATAGCATTCTAGATTATCTAGAATTTACAGTAAGTATTACAGACAACATGATGACATAAAATACATAAAAAAATGATGACAAAACAAGACACCTTTGGGTGCTCTCCCCTGCCACGAAATAGCCCAGGCGGTTCAACTCTGAAATTTCCAACCTGAGATTAAGATAATGAATGAGGGAAGTCAGCATGCATCATCAAACAAGGGACATTAAGAAAATTAAAAAAGAAACATAATTTAGCAAGTGCATAAATACCAATGAAATACAAAGACATTACATGCATGTCTGGACATTAAGAGAATAAGTCTCATTTTGCCAGATATTAGATTATAGCATGATGAAGTTAAACAAAAAAGTAAAGTTCTTTGAAGGGTTCTCCAAATTCATCTACATTGAACTAGGCTTGATTCCACAGTGGAGATATTTCATATTTCTACGATAGGGCTTCTAAGGCCCTGGTGGTTGGCACAATAGTCTACTGCAATCCAAATAGGAAAACAAGCAAAACCTGGTGCTTGAAAGAAAACAAGATTGACAAAAGGAAATTTACTAGGGTGTCAGAGACCAAAGGGAATGGAAGATACTGGACAGTGTTCATACTAGCAGGAAAGGATTAAAGTGGCTAGGAGATTGCTTTGGTTCTAACTGAATGCTTTTTAGGTTTGAATTATAAACATTTATATGCCACCACAAAATCATTCGAGGCCAACCCTTGAGGTCCAGACAATAAAGTGAAAAAAAAAAGGAGATTCATACTTCAATATTCCAGATAGGGAGTCAAGAAGACTAAATTGAAGTGGATGGTATAGAGATGATCAAGAGTTTGTTAAAAACTAGCAGGCTGTTTAGAAAGATGGAGTAAGTGTTGGTGGTGGATCATATCAATCAGAAGGTGGACTGACGGATCTGAGATATAGGACTGAGGAGTTTGTTGGGCATCCTTTAAGTTTGTCCATTTTTTCTTTTAACATGACAATTTACCAAATCTTAAAGATTTCAAGCCTTCAAGGACAAGAACTAATCCAACTTTAGTTCTGAGTTGGAAGAATAAATGTGCCACTAAGTCAAGTATAGTAGGTTTTTTTGTTCTTAGTGAATAACATATCTATGTATAGCAGTTCTCTAGGTGGGATGCCTTATCATCCTCCTTTTATATATAAGATTTGCTTTAAGTTTTAATCAATCAAAAAAGATAGGGAGGTCGTGCACTAAAGAAATCCATTTTCTTGCCTCCTATTAAAAAGCTTGTCTGAGAGAAGCATAGAATAGGCAAGAAAAGAGGGATATGATGTCATAATTACTTTTTTAATCACAAATATACAAGATACAACTTCCTTGTATCATCTAGATACAGTTCATGAAAATGGAATATTTTCAGAATCATGCAAGCAACAGAGAAATGAAATACACACTAACATTGAAGGCCAAGTTTTTAATGAGAATGTTGAGGCCTAACAAAAGAAAAAAAAATGTAAAAGTAAATCCCCATAGTCCAACTTGAATACGGGGGATTTATATGTGTGAATGCTAAAAGTAGGTGCAGTACAGGATATTAGGCCATATGTAATTATTATTTGTCATAGATGAAGAGAAGAAGAAAGAAGAGAGAACAGAATTTATAGCCAAAAGTGTGTGGCAGAATCCACACCAATGTTTTATTAACAGTGTTTTAAAACAATATTTCTTTTGATGAATGAGTAATCAATTTTATTAAAAGGAAAAAAGGAGAGTACAATCAGCCTTGTAGGAGGCACGAGATGCTACCTCCCCATTGGGATGAGTACAAACCCAACTCTTATCAGTAAACAAAACTATAAGTTAGCCCAATACAAAGAAACCCGAGAAGCCCCTTGTTTAGCCAGAGAGTCTGCCAAGGCATTTGCTTATCTGCTAACGCACTGGAAACTGACTGACATATTTCTTGTGAGTCATTTTACTTTTTTTTTTCAAAAGATCTCTGTAGCCCCAGATAACACTGTCCAGATTCAACAGCCAACCCACTATCAGGTTGGAATCTCTTTCAACTAACAAATTCTCCACTCCAAGTAGGTTGGCAATCTGTAGGCCTTGTACAGCTGCTAGTATTTCAAACCTTGTTGAGTCTCTAACTCCCACTGAACCCTGAGAATAAAGAGATAATGCTTCTTCCCTTATCCCTCAAAATCCCTCTTATACCCAAGGGCCCTGGGTTACCTTGACTACTACCATCAAAATTCATCTTTATAACCCCTTCTGGAGGAGGAGTCCACCTTGCTTGTATTCTGGTCTTCTCGGGGGCTATGGATGCCACCGCTGCCCAACTCCTCCAAATATCATCACAGGAGTAATCCACAAACAAGTCTGAAGTTTTCAACCAAAGGATGGTCCTTGTCAAGATGAACTCCTTAACTTCCTCGGGACTTCTTTCTTTTTCTTGGAGTATCCTAGCATTCCATTCCTCCCAAATAGTTCATACCATAGCTGCTCTAATACATCTTCACATGAATTACCATAGCTGCTCTTATACATCTCCCAAGGTTTAAGGGAGTCCAAGCAAGCAGAATCCAATAGAAGTAAAAGTTCTGAAACAAAAGCAAATTCATCAACCCTTAAACCTCTACAAAAGCCAAAATCCCAAGTTAGAGGCAAAGGGAGTATTGGGGAAGAAAGAAACCTAGAAACAGGCTCCTTCTTATAAAGGGAAATAGAATGGAGGGAACAAGAACAGAATTACCTGAGCAAACATCATGCCTTAGAGACTGGGGGAATTTAGGAAGAATGCTAGAGACAGCCTTCCAAGGTGTAGTGAGTCAAGCCCGTCAAGATACCCCAGCATCCCATCCAGTTTCGGAACAGCCATGGATACTCGCCACCACTTCATGCCACAGTCTTTCCCTTTTCCAAAGGCCACTTCCAAGGCCATTTACCTAAAAGAGCTTCATTCCTATTAACTATGTTCCCTAACCCTAATCCCCTTTCTTCCTTACAACGACCCACTACCTCCCATTTAATCAAGTGATCTTTTTTCTCTTCCCCTGGCTCCCATAAGAAGTCCCTTATCAAATTTTCTAACCTCTCAGCTACCCTAGAAAGTGTCCTAAAGATGGATAGAAAGTAATAGGAAGATTGGCAAGTGTGGCCCTAATTAATGTAACTCCTCCCAACGATTAGTTCTTTCTCCAAGCCATCAATCTTTTTTCAAGCATTTCCATCACTAGGCTCCAGAAACAACTCTCCTTAGGGTTAGCACCTAGGGGAAGTCCTAAGTAAGTCAAGGGCCACTCAAAAATGGTGCACTCTAAGCAGGCAACAATAGACTCCATCTCCCTCCATTCCAGCTTTAGCCCCACCACACAGTCCTCAAAATTGATCTTCAAATTGGAAGCACTCTCAAAAAGTGAAATTAGGTTTCTCAGATTCTGCACCCTCGACACTTCAGTGTTTTAAAACAATATTTTTTTGATAATTGGTGTTTTAAAATAATATTAAAAGACATTATTCTTTTGATGAATAATTTGTAAGGATTGCAAAGTTATTCCAAGGGGAGAATACAAAGTAGGTAATATCCTCATTTTCAATTAGACTTCTTAAGCCATTTGCATGTCAAAAACTATTCTATTGAAGCTAAAGATGGAAGAAAGTTTCATAGAAGCATCAAGATGTAAGAAAGTTCTAAAGGTTGAAGCTAAAGACTTCCTTCTTGAGGAGATGAAGATCAAAGGGCTACTGAGCATGAAGATCAGGGAAGCTAAGAAGGCTAGTAGGTCTTTAAGTGATAGATTGGCTGAAGGATTTCCTGGAAGCAACAAGCTCCAAAGGTAAGCAACCAAACCATAAGGGCTTTCGTTCAAAAGGGAGAAGGTAAGAAATGGAATACAGGAAAAAGGCTGAAAGATCTTTTATTGCACTTCTGGAATGCTTTGGGGAAGGAAGGAAGCAGATGGTATGTTTCCCTGAAGGAGAAAGGGTCAAGGCTGGAAGGAAGTTTCAGGGTTGCTTGATAGTTTCCTAGTCAGGTTGGAAAACTCTGACTAAGAGGAACCCAAAGGGGGCTAGCAATGACCTTATGACACTCTAATTTGCCACTTCCTTCCAATTTTTCAAAAAAAAAATCATTAGTAGAAAAGTCAGCAAACATCTCCAAGGACTTCATCCAATGGAACACTCTAACCATAATAGTCTCTATAATTGCCTCTTTGCTTCTTTCTTCATCTGAAAAGATTCTTGAGTCTCCTAAAGAAAGCAGCTTAACGCAGCCCTTACACACTTCCACAACACTTTTCCCCTTTTCCAGGCAACCTAAAGAAGGTAGATGAAAACAAACTTTGCACACTAGACGGGGGAATCCACCTACACCCAAACAAATAGAAGAACCATTCCCAAATAGAAGTAGCAACTAGGTAGGAGATTAAAAGTGAAAGTAAGTTTCTCCATTAGGCCTTACACATAACACACCAATGAGGGGATAAACATCAGTTGGGTCTTTTCTTTTGAAGGAGATCACAAATATTTATTCTTTCCAAAAAGACCTAACAAAAGCACCCAATTCTTGAAGGGATGGAGTTGCTCCAAACCTCTTTTACAGGAAAAGGAGAGCCCAAACTATCATCTGGTTGAATCAAGGCCTTGAAGAAGGAAGCACAAGAAAAACACCATATGAGGAAGGGGTCCAGATAAGTCTATCAGAAATGGAAGGGTCCAAAAAAGACCCCATCAAGGACAAGAATCAAATCCAAAACATCATTCAATTCCGAATCCCTTACACTCCTTCTAAGACCCAAATCCCAGTTATTTTCTCCGAGTCTTTTATTGAGATCCATAGTAGTGCCTGTAGTTTTTTTTTTTCAATAACTAGTTGTTCCTGTAGGTTTGGACCCCAACTTCCACTTATCCTGAAGATCTAGAATGCACTTTATTAAACAAAGATTCCTTCATGTGACCTGGCAACTTCAACCCCTAGGAAATACTTTAATGGACCCATATCTTTCACTTCAAACTACAAAGCCAAGAATTCCTTCAACAGCTAAGGGTCAAGTTCCTAGTTCCATGTAATGACACATCAAAATATGCAATCAAGGCTGCAATATGACCTTCCCCCTTAACAAATAATGTGGGATCAAACTTTTTTTGAAGGCTATATGTGATCAAACCAGTATTGCCCATACCCCGCCTACT